CGGTGTGAGTGGCGTAGATCAAAGTCGGGGAGGGGTGACATCTTTTTCAGTGGGAGGTCTGTAGCGAAGTCCATAGAGGTCGAGAGGGATGTCCAAGACCGATAGACGGTCCGCGATACGGCAGCGGTGGCGATGATGGTGTGTATCGGTGCGTCGAGTGCGTGTTGCGTTTAGGATATGCGTGTTTTGGTTTCTAGGATGCGGTGTGTGTTTAACTGTTATGATGCTCCTTTGGCTCAGTTGGTAGAGCGTCAGTCTCATAATCTGAAGGTCGCCAGTTCGATCCTGGCAGGGAGCACTTCTTTACCTCGTTTTGCCTGCCTCCGTGTTGCCGCACTGCCACCCGCTGTGCAGCCTCGCGATCATGCACTAGCGCTTGGCCAAACACTATCACGCCCGATCGTACCCCCGCATGAAAATCTAGCTACCTCGCGCTGTTTTAGGACAGCTACCCAGTGCTGCTCTGGCTGGCTCGGGTTCGAGTCTGGTGGGAGAGCTCCAATCTCACTTAGATCGCTTCGACGTACTCCACGTCGAGAGAGCTCTCTGCGTGGCCGTGGCCGCTATCGGTCACGAGCACGAAGCCAGGGGACACGTGAAACATCNTCGAGTCTGGTGGGAGAGCTCCAATCTCACTTAGATCGCTTCGACGTACTCCACGTCGAGAGAGCTCTCTGCGTGGCCGTGGCCGCTATCGGTCACGAGCACGAAGCCAGGGGACACGTGAAACATCACAAGCTACCGCGAAAAGAGCGAGCTGGTGGTCCCGTGCTCGAGGCAAGCGGTCCGACCCGAGAGGAGCAAAGCCTTGCATTCGAAACAAGCTCGTAGGTGCAGGTATTGCTGATGTTCCAAGACGGCATGCCAGCGTGTCGTTAGCGGTGTGAGTGGCGTAGATCAAAGTCGGGGAGGGGTGACATCTTTTCAGTGGGAGGTCTGTAGTGAAGTCCATAGAGGTCGAGAGGGATGTCCAAGACCGATAGACGGTCCGCGATACGGCAGCGGTGGCAATGATGGTGTGTATCGGTGCGTCAGCCTACATCAGTGAGTTGAAATCTGCAATGAACAGGCGGTTCTCCATGACAGATTTAGGGGAGGAGAAGTACTTACTCGGCTGGTCTATGCAACGTGCCCGTACGAACTGAATGATATGTATCCACCAGCACAAGTACGCTATCAGGGGGTCGTTGCCGCATCAGCGACTGCATTCCGTACCATATTGCAACCCCAACAGACCGGAATGCTAAACTCTCCGTAAATAGCCAACTAAGCAGTGAGACAGAGAAAAATGCAATGAAAGACATTCCGTATCGAGAAGCCGTCGGTAGTTTCATGTACCTCATGGTAGGCACTCGACCCGACATGGCCTTTTACATGCGCGAGGTCAGCCAATTTCTAGCGAATGTTGGCATGGAGAACTGGAAAGCGGTGATCCAAGATCTCAAATACCTAGCTGGCACCAAAGACTACGGTCTGCTGCTGGGAGGGTCGCTGGACATCACCCCAGAGAACCTGGCTGACAAGCAGACAGCTTATAGCGACTCAGAATACGCTAATTGCCCTGACACCCGACGCTCTGTCGGCGGATATGTGACTATGCTCGCAAACAGTCCAAAAAAAAAAATCTCAGGGCTCTCACGTAAACACCACACTGTGGTCCTCTCCACAACAAAGGCAGAATACATCGCCCTATGTCACTGCATGCAAGAGATGTTATTCCTCAAACTCCTTCTTGAAGAGTTAGGATTCATAGCTACACATCCCAACGTTATCTTCGAAGACAACCAAAGCTGCATCAAGATCAGCTACAATCCCGAATTACACGGAAGATCGAAGCACATATTGTGCTTTGCTGTCTTTTTGCCGATGCTTCCCCAGACCTGCGTCGGATTTGTGTTGCGAAATCGGGCCTACTAAAGTGGCGCGTAGAGGCTCGTAAAAATTACCTTAACCCTGGGACATTTGATCTAATCTGAGATCTGCACTTGATTTGTGGTGGCACGTGGAGCACACCCTCATTTATAATCAAGAAGGCCAAGTACCAAGCAAGAACGACAGCACACCAAGGAAGACTGCTGCCCAAGCCCACAAAGCACCACCATGAACGCTCGGGTAGCTTAGTGGGAAAGCTCCGCAATGGGATGACGGAAGTTCAATTCCTCCCGCGAGCATCTCTTTGCTGGTGGTTCTGAAGTGGGTGTGGGCGGCAAGGTGTGGGCGGCATCAAGGGCAGAATATCGCATGGAGACACTGATGACAGATGGGAGACCGGGTGGCCGGATGGGAGCAGCAGATGAAGGCAGCCCAATGGCGATAAGCAAGAGCAGAGCTTGGCGTCGCAAGGAGCGGAGGGCAGCGACTGCGGGACGCGCGTTTCGACCGGAGCTCTCCAGAAATAGCGGCGGCGGCTGTTGTGCGACAAGGGAGATAGCCGTGGAATGGGGAAAGCGGTACGTGTGGCGGCAGAGATGAAGGAGAGCAGGAGATTGGCGCTGTTTGGTAAGGCTATGTGTGTTCATGTGAGATCAGTTGCGGAAACCCATGGATGATGCAATCCCCCTCCCTGATAATCTAACGTGCCGCTTGTTCATCAAGAACGGCCAGCCGTATGCCTCATGCCGTAACAAAGTACCGCCTTCTCCTGCGTTTGTTTTCCCTGTAGCCCAGAGATGCCGCGTACTGCGAGATACGGTGGAAGAACACTTTGTGAGTAAGGTACCGGGGAAGTGGGACTCCGACTTCGACATCTAGCTTCAAGCCAACGAATAACGCCTATCAAAAGGACTTCCTGGTGCTTTGCCGCGACAACCAAGCAATGCAAGTAGAGCTGGAGACGGCGTGGCAGAAGGTAAGGCGCCGACAAAACGGCCAGTCCGGGTTTGTTCTCGAGCTGTACGTTTACGTACCCAAGACTGCTGAGCAGACGATGCTGCGGAGGGCGACAGCAGCGCGTATTCAAGAACAGATGTCACGACGTTCCAGTCCCTATGCTAGTGAATATCGCCGACTTGCGCACCGCACTTGAGCTCCCCGGCTACAGCCTGCGTCCTCCATTTTGCGAGCAGACAGTGGTCAACACCCAAGCCCCCGCAGGAATATGATGGACACAGACCACGCAGAAGAACAAGGTCCGTAGATGAGGAGGGAGCAAATGTAGCGATGCTATATTTCTTTAATCGAGAGTTTGCTTTGACTGTAACCACAGTGTCGATATAGATTCTCTTCTACTTCTTCTTTCTGTTTAGTGCATTGATGCATGGCGTCAGTGCGTACAGCGAGCGGGCTTTCGCGAAATACCATATTGGCGTGGCGTTGAATCCAGCGCTTGAGCAACGAAAATCCTACCTCGATAGGATTGAGGTCCGGTGAGTAAGGCGGTAGGAAAATAGCAGCGCACCGGTCTCACGGATCATCTCATGTAGCTCCTTGTACATGTGGATCTTCGCGTTATCCGTGACCACTATCGAGCGCGGTAATGGCCATGGATTGAGAAACGGCAGGATTTGAGTCTTGAAGACTTCGTGAAACCCGGCCCGCGTGAAGGTCCCTTCTACATTTCCCCATGATAAAAAGCCCTGGACAGCAAATGCAGCCAGAATTGATACGCGCTTGCCGCGACTAAAGGGGACTGTGACGTGATCGGGTGTGTTCCTTGCTGACCAGCCATAGCGGCGGAGCACAGTCTTTAACTTTTAACAAAACGTTAGATTCAAAATAACCACCATAACAATGGAAGAGAATCGACCTTCCGTCTTTCGAAGTCTCGTCAATGAAGACGAGCTGGTCAGGCCCACTGTAAAACGGAGCTGGACGACTGGCGTACTCTCTTCTTTCTCGCGGTAGACTCTCCCTTGCCCGCTTGGTTAGAACCTTCCTTGTCAGTCTCAAATCAAAGCGCAACGCGCGACATATCGTAAAATCGGAGACGCAGATAGAATCCCCGTAGCGAGCGCGAACTTCACAGCGTAGTTCTTCGAAGTAGAAGCATGGGTGGATCTCCACATACTCTCGGACAAACGCGCAGACATTGCTGGGCCACCGTGACGTATTCGCGCGAGGCTCGTCCTTCAAAACGTTTCCTGTAGTACGGAATAGCTTGTACCATCGGCTAAAACTTCGTTTAGACAGGCCTAGAACGCTAGATACGGTAGCTATATCAATTGAATACACATACATGAGCACAATACCTCTCCAACGTATGTCTAATGAGAAGGTCATTTTAAAGTGATTGTGGTGCGAAGCACCACAATCTCAGAATGCCGAGCCAATGCCAGCCATTCAAACTTTTGACCCTCCGCCACTAGTTTTGTTGGTCCGATCTAAGTCTTTTCTAGGAGTGGTACTGTGGTCTTGAGGTAGCCGCTTTGATTGGCTGAATTATTAGTTCTATTTAAAGCCAGGCTCTAACTTGTAAACTTTGCCGCCTTAACGCCACAGTGGACACGTAACCGCACCATTTGAAAAGGCTTTTTACAGTCCGGCCCGCCAACATCTTTGAAAGGCGCAGTACATGCTCGTTACTGCTTTGTGCAAAAAAAGTAGAGCGGCACGAATTCAACGTCGTCTATTGCAATACAAAAGAAACGGTGGCTAATATCTTCACAAGGCGCTAGACAAACATCTGTTCAGAGAACTAAGGATCAAGCTCAAGATGAGACCCCTGGAAGCCAAACCTGGTCATTCCGTATAGTGTACGAGTAAATCGCTAATGCTTGAAACGTGCCTATTTATAATGCGTTCTCTTTATTTTTCCCACTGGGTTTATAATTTGTTCGCAGAAAAAGGATTTTCCTCTCTGAGGTTTCCCTGTGTTGTACCGAATTCATATAGGCACATGCTATCATAGATTCCATGCAAGAAAACACCATATTGCTAGGAAAGTTCATTATCGATAAGGCAAACCCGCTGAAATCCTTACCAACTCCTATCATCTACCGCTGGGTACACGATGAACGGACGAACGAAAGCGAGGAAGTTAATCCAAGTCGCTGCCTGCGGAAGCATAACTTGGGTCTTGATCAAATACGAGGCGCTGATCTCCTTAAACCTGGAGAACGAATGCGTGGCCAACAACAAATGATTGTTTGCTGCACACAAGTACAGCCCGTCAAACAGCTCCACTTCATCGAGAACACAGGCTCTACGACGACCTGAAATTGCGAAGTTTTGTCTTGAAAGGGGCTTGAACTTGAAGTCGCGGCCATCATCGCGCAGACGGCAGAGGAGCTCGAGCAAGATCTTCCACGATGTTCCTAGCGTGAGATCGATTCCGAACTTGTCCCTCTTGTATGCAACGAAATCGTCGATGTCGGTTCTGCTCACAATATCAGGCCGGACGGCGAGCTTCGCGATGTGCTTGAAGGCATTGAACAAGCAAATACCTTGTGTGTCCGCAACAATTGGGTGCTTGTCCGTCTTGCAGAACTCGTCGAAAAGAAAAATTCTCAACCCCTGAGCTCTTCCAGCGGTCTACGAGAGCCACCACCTCGGTGAAGCCATCAGCTTCGAGTGGCCCCTTCGGCTCCCATGTGCGCTGATAATAGCGTCTAGCCCCACGATGACAAACACGCCACAGGACGCGGTACTCGAATCCGAGCTCGTTCGAACGCCGATAAATGATGCACGCAACATCCCACGTCTTCATAGTGGATGCATAAGTCGTGCCCACAGTCGCTCGACCTGGCCCGTAGTACTCATTGTATATAAGTCGTTGAAGCTAGTAGCCTGGTCGGTAACTACAGCAACTTGGTCGGTGGAAACATCGGTCTGCTCACTGGCATTAGCAGACTGGATGATGGCACCAGCTCCATGCCCTGGCTTAGCAACCTCACGCTGAAGAGTACAGTTCCGACACTGTGTAGAAATTCCGCTATTGGAGCAAGTGCACACCATGCACATCCAGTCATCATCGGAATTATCATCGTCATGATCCAGGTCGTCGTCATTTGCGTGATCATCAGCAGTACCTGTCTGATTGGTGGCAATAACTTCCTAGTCGGTGGCAATACGTGCCTGGTCGGTACCTGGTCGATGGCACTAACTGTCTGGTCGGTGGCTGGAGCTACAAGGTCTAGCACAGACCCGTCTGTACCAACATCACACAGTTCGGTGCCTGTAGCCACCTGGTTGGCGGCGGGAACGGAGCTGTCAGCCTGCGCCAACATGGACGATGGCCTTGGACTTGCGGATGCGCACGCCGCCGCCGACGCGTTTCTGCTCATGGCCGTAGTGGACACTGCAGCAACCTCCATCCGTGCAACACGCACAGCCTCCAGCAACGCGGCCCTGCCCACCATGGTCCCCGCGAACTTCGATACCCCGGCCCCCGTGGCCTTCAGCACACTGGCCTCCGCAGCATCCGCAGCCTCCTTCGCAGTACTCCCCTTCGGCGTGATGTCCTTGTCCGTGGTGGCCCTGCGACGAGCAGCCCTGGCCTTCTTCGTGGCCCGGAGTTTAGCTGCTGCCCTGGGCTTCCGTTTCCCCTAACCGCTGGGACTCGGAGATGGCTGCCCCGGAGAACTTGAACGCGCGATCTTCCTGTCTTCCAAAGCTTCGTCATGGCGTGTTCAGCGGAGTCTTCCTTTACAACGGAGCGGAGCTACGAGTACGAAGGTCGGACTGCGGCCGCGGGCTTCCTCGACAACACTTTTGTGAACTGAGTAGTCGCAACTCTGGTTCTGAATACCTGCAATATCTGATAAAATCAGACTATGCACTTTTGATGCAAAGATGCAGGGAGGCTGTTGAAGCAGCCTCTTTGCTCAAATAGGTACAGTGGTTCAGAAGCTGATTATTGGTCATCAGAGACCCTCTACAAAGTGTTATAGTAGAGGTTAGTGTAGTATAGTATAGCCTACTGTAGTTCTCTCTACGCCACCACGACATTGGCGCTACTGCACCGGTAAACTACACGCTAATGTTGTCACCTCGCTTATTCACAGCTACCCCTCAAGTAACTCCCGTCCTACATCCAGCTTTCACCTTTAACACACATGATTTGTAGATGGCTCCCTTGTCGCGTCTTTCAGAAAAAGACTCGTACTTAAACGAGGCTTTAGTGAAATCAAATTCCGGTGTTTATAACAGGCTGTACAGACAACGACGCAGAAATCCGGCAGCTCTGAATGCTACCCTCCATACAAAACAAAGAAGCACCGGTCCCGACAAAAAA